ATCTAACTACTCCATTTTTGGGATGCCTCAGAAATGTATTCTATCTCATCTGGCACGGAAGATGTATACTTTTTGTTCAACGCATGAAGAACAACTAAACATGTACTGGCAACCCCAAAGCTTAGGACTTAATGGAATCATCTTATCTCTGACTCCTCTGAAAGCCATCATGGAACAATCAGAACATTTGTGTTGACACCTAGAACAATGAAACAAAACTCTGTCAGACTCTCTGATACAGACTGTAATCAACTAATGTCATTAGCTAGCCAGATGGAGAAGGAGACTGCACACCACTGGTGGGACATCTTTACTGGATATTCACCCTCTGCAACCCAAGTGTTGAATTTCTTAATACATCCTCTTATAATATTGCTAGTTATCATTATTATTACTTTATATAATTGTTATGTATGGTATTGTATCAAACGGATAGAGCAAACATATTGGGTTCTTGCAAAGGGGTCGTGATCTTCACTCATAAGTCAAAGGACCAATTGAAATAAAAAAGGCCCAAACAATAGGCCTCAAACCAAAGTTGACTTCTGAGTGAATCCCCCGACCAGCAACCAGCATCTTATCAGCATGAAGCAACCAGCATCTTATCAACATTAAATGCAACGCTGGGAACAATCCCTGAAAACTATAAGTAAACAACAGGAAGTAACTATAAATCCCAAATGTAAAGAAAAACAGAAACTCCTCAAATGTGCCCGGATCCTGGCCAGATCCGGGCACACCTGAGTGAGGCATGTGAATCTACCAGATATCTCCTGTGCATTTTTTATAGATTAGTTTGTTAAACTGTATGAAAGCCGGACCCTCTCACAGCAAAGACAGAGATCTCACCTACGAGAGGACGCCCTGCGTAGGACTTCCCAATTGCCAGGAAAGGCTCTCCAACCCTCCACTGTGACGGGGCTCCCCAGCTGATGCACGGATCTGGATGATGGTGAAGTATGAGGGCGATTGGTGATGTATCTTTCTTAATCACTACAGCTTTCTTTATGTAGTAATGACTAGGTGCATTACCTTGCTTATTCTTTCTGCTGATCTAAACTAAAGTAAAATAAGCCTATTTCTTTAGCTTGGTGTCTGTGTCCTTTGTGTTAGCCCCATCAATTGGCAAAAAAACATCCTAAGAACTGAGGTTAGACACAGAGAGCAGCAGAGCATTGGGCTATTCCTATGAGACAGTAACCTCTCCTCTTTTATCTTTCTTTCACAAAAATAGTCTGGCTGCAAGCTACACAGTCCTGCCTGAGTTTCAGGGCTTCGTGGTAAATTTGCAAGGATTTGGTGAATAGGTCTCAAAAGACTCATGTGAAGGCCCTGTACAGACTGTGGTGTACCATGGTTGTCAACAAACTTCACCTCTCCGATATTGCCATGAGCACTGTGACAGTAGCTTACAAAAGCCCTGATAAAGGCCACCACAAGACAGACAGGCTCAGGATCTCATCTGGTAGAAATTCTTCAAGCTCAGAGGGCAAGATGAGGTGTAAGGAAAGTCAGTGGGGACATCTCCAAGAAAGCAGTGAGTTCTTCTGTTTAATGATTCATGTAAAGCTTGAATCTGCAAACTGACTTTGTATCCATGCAGTTGTAGAGCACTTAACAGACCCACCGAAGCTGGGAACAGAATAATTAAAATTTGCTAGGTCACAGGCTTTTTTATTCTGGCCAATGACAGATTATTTCTAATAGGCACAAAATGCAGTGACATTATAAGGCTTTTCTTACAAGCAAGGGTCTAGTGTTTCTGTCTGGTCTCCATAAGTACAGTCAATCCAGCTGAAACATAACACCACAACTGCTGGGACGGGTGGTTTTCAAAAGTAAGCCAGGCTGAACTTGGAAATTTAATCAAAAGAAAAGAGAGCACAGAGTGGTGACAGTGGAAAGTCTGTATCACACCTCATCTTGAGCAAACTACAGGTTGATCACAGATGAACCAGCCTTTCTGTGAGGGAAGATGGTGCCTGAAGGGTGAGGTGCAGTGGGGGGAAAAAAGGACAAAGGTTTCTCATCCGAGTCCCAGTGAGAGGAGTGCCTCAACATTATTTGGACAACTAGATATTGGCCTCCCTGTTGTTCAATTTAAGAAGCACTTACACAGTAGTCTGACTTGAAAAACAGAGCTTAAGTATCCAGACTGGTGTCAGGCTAAGAAATCAGGAAACCATTTCATTTCTAAGTGCCATTTAGTCTCTTTCTAGCCATGAGCCGTATCCTGTGATTTTTACCTGAAGCCTCATTTTCTTTTGCTTCAATATGCCTCCTGAATTTTAACATGGATAGCACTTGTGTACTTCATTCAGCACTTAGTTGCCTAAAATACTGATTAAAAAAGTATTAAAATATGGATTTATAACTGACTTTGGGGCATTCAGTTTTGAAGAATAGCTCCTCCTTTTCTTAAATGCTAACACAAAGATTGCTTGACAAAGCCAAAAGGAGAGTTTGAAAGTTTGATTCATTGTTTAATATCCAGTTCTAGCTGTTTACAAGTAGGGTTTGTCTTGCCGTTCATAATTTCTGTTATATTCCTTCCAAGCATTTATTCGACTCAGTTAAATTAGATAATGTTGAATTCACCTCAACATTTATGCCTGGCAACAGCCTTTGCGGTCACAAGGCGATGATTTCATTAGAGGAACCGAGCAGAAGTGGAAGGAATGTGGGGTGTGAGAGGGGAAAAAAAAAGCTTTTGTTGAAACACAAATATCTTCTGTGAGACCGATTTGAGCAATTATAGCTCTGGCACTGTGATAGCAAGGGGATGTGGGAATAAATACCAGCCAAGCTCTTCTCTCACTATAAATATTCTCTTTTTTCCTAAATCAGCTCAGGCATGGTCTCTGCTCAAACCCCTCTTCTCTCCTGACCAGAGAACCGTGCTTGGGGCCAGGCTGCTCTGCCACGTCCTGCCCAGCCCGCAGAGCTGCCTGTGCCGTGCAGGAGCGCCACAAACTGTCATCTGAATTTTGTGTCACAGCCCCCCAGCATCCCATTTTGTACCAGCAAAGGACGCCAGTGGCAGCACAACCCGGGGGGAGGTGATGCTGGATATAGCAGTTACCCTTCAAACATTCCCCATTCCTTAGATAACTGCATAGCATTGCTTGTGTGCAGCAGTCTCTATACCCACACTTAGAGGTCACGCATATTTTGCAGTATAGTTATTTGGTTATCAAAGGTATTGCTGATGTTTCAGATAAGGACTGGAATTTTCTATATATAATTAACAGTAGGGGGTGGTACTTTTTTGGATAATGGGATTTTTAGATGCTGGAGGTTGAAAGAGAGTGGAAAAGGGAGGCACATATGATCTTTCATATAAATTAGTCTGGTGATAATGCCCGGCTCACGCTCCCTTCACTCACCCTTTGATGTTCAGACCATGCATCAGATGTGAAAAGAATGACTGACAGTGCTGAAAAAACGCATGGTGTCTAAATGAACTCACTGGGGCTCATCACTCCCAGTTTTGACATTTTAATCTGAGCCCCTCAGCTTCTAACAGTTTGATTCACCTTCTTTTTTTTTTTCCCCCAGATCTGCGTTGTTGAAAACTGGCCATCTCCAAGCCATCTCCAGAAGACAGAGACAGTCCTTCCCATGTATCACAAACCTCTCTAACCGGTGTCTGCAGGTGTATCTGTCCCCCATCGCTTTCCACTACTGCCATCCTGCTTCAGGATTTGGCTTGCAAGGCCAGTGTCTGCCAGCTGCCTGCCTTCACATCCCATACATATTTGCCATGAGGAGGCAGTGGCAAAGGATTTTGGCTTTGCCCAAGCAGCCACAGTAATTCCTGTGCAGACCACAGGACGACTGCTCTCCCTGTCAGACCTTGGGGATCCCCATCAACATCAGTGTGCATCCCTGAGCTGCTGTGTATGGCTTTCTCTGCAGACAGACTGGATGGCACTGAACAGGCAGACCAAATTCTGGGCTTGGACAGTACCTCCCCTCCTTACCACAGGGCCTTGCCAGGCACTGCTGTGCAGGGGACCCGCTCCAGCCTGTCCCAGAGAATAACTGTGAGACTAGGCACGAGGGTGCCACTGAGGGGTAGAAAGGGCACTGACTCACTGAATTCTTATACAGCAAAGATGCTCTCAGCATCTTCATGGCTTCTATCAAAAAACTGGCTTAGCCAGGTTTATGTGAACATCACAGACGTACTGCTGACTGACTGGATATACTGTCATTTAAAGAAATTTGTAAAATGAGATAATAACTGTTATGTTGTTTCCTTGTAGTCACAAGAGACTATGACTGAACCTTCCTAAAACCTCATGTTAATGGAGGAGGGACAGTTTCTCTGCTAATAGCAAATACCATTCTGAAACTTGGGGTCCTTTGCTATTTTACAACCCTTTCACCCTCCCAGTCACTGCAATTCATTCAGCTCCTCAAGGCATTTCTTTCTGCAGTGATTCTACAGGAGAAAGCAGCTCCTGGACACATTCACTTCTTACAGAGAAGCACTGTCTACCCTGCTCTGCAGGGCCCAGCAGCTCTGATGCCCCGGCTGTGGGATGGCTTCACCTGAGGGTGAGGTCTGGGCTTGTGCCAAATCCACTACAGCCTCCTGCATCCTTCTGTGTGCACAAAGAACGCGTAGGCCTACGGACCAGACAAGAGCTGTGCCATTCCCTGAGCAGCTGTCAAGCTGGATAGTTAGTCAACCAGGACCCCAGGTAGCAGATCATTAGGTAAATCGAAGCACAGCCTTTGTGGTCAACTGGAGAACACTGGGATTCATACTCTGCCTTAAACTGCCTATGGGCACATCAGTGTGATTCCCCTGTATTTGCAATTGCCTGTCTTTAAAAGGCAAAATGGTACTCAATGAATGGCCTAAGAGGTATAGGTGAAAATCGGTCTTAGGTTTGGTCATTATTTTGGTGATTCTAGCTCTGTACATCAACAGGTATACCCAAGCTAAGAAAAGACTCAATTTAGTATGTGTCATTTTAATCTTTGATTACTTTTTAGCATTTGAATAATGGCTTTTGTGACAGATGTGATGTGCCACATTTCCAAACTTTTAGAGGGAAACAATGACCTTCCATTTTTCAGGAGCTGCTCAGCTACTGAACTCTGTTGCCAAATGCTGCAAATAATCATTTCAGCCAGCAATGGCTGGGTAATCCCAGTGTGACATTTCATATCCTGTTCACTTTTCAATGATTTATTTGTAATTTCTGCTAAACCACAGTTAAAGTTGTCCAACGCTTGGCTTCTAGATGAGTAACAGATAACCCTTGCCAACAGCACAGTCTGTTTTGAAGGCAAATGTAACTAGGAGACTGAGAATAAATTGATAGGTTAAAAGGTGGTATATGGGAACTGATGCCCACATCTGTGTCTGAACGCCAACTTCCAGAGCGTAGTGCTGTCATCCAGCTGATCTTCCTCTCTTTTCCTCTGCTGCCCTTGGCCTAAAGCAAAAGCACCTCTCTGTAATCAGAGCTGAGCCTGAAAAAGAAGAAACTCACAAAAATATCCTTTCAGAAAAAAAGAAAGGCTTCTTAAAAACAAGTCCTCCCGTTTTTGCTTTTGTCACTGCCCATACTTCGGTACCGGCTCCATCCAGGCCCCAGGATATTTTACACTTTAGCTCTCTGATCCAATCCAGTCTGGTTAGTCCTGTCCTCGCTGCAATCGTACGCTGGGAGTGTCGGCCTCACCTTGGATTACTTCTTGGGAGCCTTCCCCAACAGCAGCACCCCAGTCCCCTCTCTGCTGCGGCAGGAACATCCCTAGGAGTTGCACTCCTCGCAGTGGCAGGAGAGGATGTAGCGGTAGGTGGCAGTGAGCCGCATGCCCCCCGAGCATCGCAACCGCATGGCCTTCAGCTTGGAGGTCTGGGGCCGGCAGCAGTGGCAGGTGGAGCGGAAAGGCTGCTTCAGGACGGTGCTGAAAGAAACCAGCGGCTCCGAGCGCGACGTCTGGCTGCAGCGCCCTTCGCAGCGAGCCAGCAGCACCATCTGCGAAGGGAAAGAGACAGGTTAGGAAATGCGTCCCCGTGGCTGCCAGCGCACAGCTAACAACGGCAGATGGGCAACTCCTTCCAGTCTGTCTGGTCTTCCTTCACTTACTGCATCTCCCCTCCTTGATGAGGGCACTGAGCCCCGCAGAGTGCCTTGTCCCCAAGCTGTGCCCGAGAGGACAAAGAAGGTAACATGGGCAGGACTAAAAACAAGGCTCCTCCTGGAGTCCCAGGAACAAACACCAATAAGGATTACAGGGCCTGGTTTTCTGAAAGCTGACCTCAGGACTTGAAACAATCACAGCCAGCCCTGCTTTCCAGGCATGGTGACTGCAACTGTGACTTACTAACCCCAGATTTGTGGCATCCAAACCCTTGAATCATCAGCCAGAATGATACTTCAGTTGAATATATGCTAGTGATCAGCAGAACTGGTCCTCAGGGCCCATGAATCTCTCAGATGGTTAGATATATAAACATATAAAGTAGAAATATAAAGAAGATGCTTAGTTTATTGTTTCTAAAGAAGTAATTTTCTAGATACCTCCTTTTACAAAGATCACCTTAAACATGCATGTGAATTTATTTATGTGTGTATATATATAATTGCATCAGTTCTACCTGTATAAAATGCACTGCATAACATAAGGTTGTGAAAATGTAAACAAGATGAACTCATTGCCAAACATGAGGGTTCACTAGTGAAATTTTCCAAAAGAAATGCAGGCTCCATGGTTCTTATCTTCCTGAGTTCACTGACTGAACTATGACCAGAACAAGGTAACTTGCACAAAGGGAGTCACTAAGGAAGGAAAGCCTGTGGGGAGTCACCTACTCCCCTTCCCAACAATCCCTTGTTGAGCAGAGATGGATAGAGTCTCTTAAGATCTATATAAAATATGAAAAGGGTCTTCTAAAGCTCAGGGAATTATGTGGTTAGAAACAGCTATTACCACCTTGATAACGGGTAAGTCATAGAAACAGAACAGTTTGGGCGGGAAGGGACCTTAAAGATCACCTAGTTCCAACCCCCCTGCCATGGGCAGGGACACCTCCCACCAAACCAGGCTGCTCAAAGCCCCGTCCAGCCTGGCCTTGAACCCTTCCAGGGAGGGGGCAGCCACAGCTTCTCTGGGCAGCCTGTGCCAGTGTCTCACCACACTCACAGTAAAGAAGTTCTTCCTTCTAGCTGATCTAAATATACCCTCTTTCAGTTTAAAACCTTTGCCCATCATTCTATCACTACACTGACTGATAAAGAGTTCCTCCCCATCTTTCCTGTAGCCCCCTTTAAGTACTGGAAGGCCACAATAAGGTCTCCCCGGAGCCTTCTCTTCTTCAGGATGAACAGCCCCAACTCTCTCAGCCAGTCCGTATAAGGGAGTTGCTCCAGCTCCCTGATCATCTCCATGGCCTCCTCTGGCCCCACTCGAGCAGGGCCATGTCCATCTTATGCTGGGAACCTCAGAGCTGGACACAGGACTGCAGGTGGGACCTCACAAGAGTGGAGTAGAGGGACAGAATCCCCTCCCTCAATCCACTGGCCACATTTCTCTTGATGCAGCCCAGGACACGGTTGGCTTTCTGGGCTGCAAGTGCACATTGCTGGCTCATAGACAGTTTTTCATCCACCAATATCCCCACATCCTTCTCCTTAGGGCTGCTCTCCATCCACTCACTGCCCGGACTGTATCTGTCCTTGGGATTGCCTCGACCCATGTGCAAGACCTTGCACTTGGCCTGTTGAACTTCATGAGGTTGCACAGGCCCACCTCTCAAGCCTGTCCAGGTCCCTCTGGATGACACCCCTTCCCTCCAGTGTGTTGACCACACTACACAACTCGGTGCCTTTGTCAAACTTGTTGAGGGTGCACTCAGTCCCACTGTCCATGTCACCAACAGAGATGTTAAACACTACCAGTCCCGTGCAGAATGCCACTCATTACTGCTCTCCACTTGGCCATCAAACCATTGACCACAACTCTTTGAGTGTAGACAAGTGTTGGACAAGTTCAAACAAACTCTTACACCTTCATGGGGAATAAAATACTAAGTCCATATCAGCTAATTCTGCTTAACAAACACAAATTTAAAAATGAACTTATTGTATCATCCAAACAAGGTCAACATGTGACAGAGGTGAGAAAGTAGGCAGTAAAACAGTCATAAGTCTATCCTGTAACCAAGGAACAAAATTACATTTTAACCATGCTGCACATATCTCATGTTTTTTTCCAGACAATCTGAAAGGATAACCACAGATGTGACAGCAAATATTTTACGTTAAACTTTTTTTGAGCTTCTTTCACTACACATGATCAATTGGCTGCAAATCTCCAAGTCCTGCAAGCAGGTATGACAAATGTTTAATTTTCTCTTCAGTCATGAGGAAATGTGAGAGAGAGAATATTCCTGGTATCAAGGAGGAAATACCAGCACTGTCTGTGTCCATGGGAAAGGCACTGATTATCCACTGTACAGTGCTTAAAAATTGCTCTTCCAGGAGTACTTGCATGCTAAATGGTTTGCTTGGAAATGTATTAATATATTAACAACTACACTTCCAGTCAACATAGACAGATCACAAGGAAGATGTCTCAATGAGCTGATGATCTGGAGTTGGTACAATCTTGTTTCTTGGTTTAATTAAGATATGGGTTCTTGTTTGCCATCCTTCATGATTTATAGCATACATTTATGGTACCCTTCCTATGATGCTGCATATTCAGCAAATTCACTTCAACAGTTAGTAGTAATGTGCTGGGAAGGAAATTTCAGTGTACTGTTGAGCCACACCTTGTCTTTAGATGCATCAACTACGTCAAGCTCCTTAATACCAGTGTCTTTAGTGTACACAAGAACGGGGAAAGGAACAATTATTACAGTGCTAACACCCCATTACTGACAGAGGATTCACTTTTTTCCCCTTGATAAACAAAACTCATTTCCCATAGGGACAGACAGGCAGTATTTGAAGAGCTACACAGGTATCTTTCCCGTGTTACAAAGGAAAGACAGCAAATTGGGACATCTAAAACAGTTAGTTCCCTCTCCAGCATCTTGACAGCTCTTGTTAGGTCCCCCACTTTGACCAGTTCACCAGACTGTGTGCAGTCTCTGTCACAGGCTATTGCCAAGCGTTTGGCTGAAGAGGAGGGTGAAGAGCAGCTGGCAACCACTTGAAGGTTGCAAAGACAACAGAGCCCAACTCACCTCAGGAATGTCAAAGGGGGATGTGCAACAGCCAAAAGTTGCTTTTTGGGAGGTTCAGAGGACCTCCAGAATCTCTTCCAACCAACATTTCTGTGATTCTGTGATTTCAGCCCAAATATGACAGCACGTGTTTCTGTATGGTGGAGGTGACTTCTAACGGTTGAAGCTTCTGAAGCTGGAACAATCGCTTCTGATACTGTTACCCTAAGGACTTTTTATGGCACACGTCTGGTCCTGTATCTGCAAATGCCTTCAGAAATGCCAGGGGAAAAAAAAAAAAAAAAAAAGCAAACCAAAACAAACAAAGCAAAAAAAAAAAAAAAACCAAAACAAACCAAAACAAACAACAAAACCCTAAGGAACAGGATTAAGGACTACATAAGAGTTGCAGCAGTGTAATTGCAGGGTAGAATTATCTGATGTGCCAATATCTGTGTCTCAATACATTTCTTATGAGCAAGTTTTCTAATGCAAAACGAGTCAATATTTCTTGAACGTGCAACTGCATTTCTATTTGCTTAACAAGCCTTTTATTTAAAAACATGTTTTAGTCTGTGGAGATTCTATGGAGATTCTAATTTCAATCTCAAGTTTTGTTGGCTACTCAGGTTTTCACAAGGTTATGGTCAGTAGTTGTAGTAGTAAAATTACACTGTGCTGGTTTTATGCCCTGTCTGGATGACAGTGTAAATTTTTACAAATGGCACAGCACCATGGGTATCAGGTCAAACTCGCAGGATAAAAAAATTTCAGATTTTCCGTTTTGATAGCTTTCTAAACTTCTGGGCTAATCTGAAGTCCTCAGCAAAATTTAACCTCCTCCTCCTCATAAATACAGAACAACACCAGTGGATTTTGGCAGGTGTGCAAATGAGCTGGAAATAGCATGTACTTTAAAAGCTTTGCTTTGCCATTTAATCAATCACACCAGCTGCTTATTGCATCGTATACTATAGCGCAATAGAGATTATCGCCTAAATAATTAGTAATGCTATGATGGCATAGCACAGTAATACAGTGGGTGTATATATAGTAAAAACGTGTGGGTATTTTATAACCTGATATGCATGGCTCTTGGCTCCTGGCTCCCCTCGTCCCCCACACATGTGAGCTTCTGTGTGTCACCTTGCAATTCTGGATCCGGAAGCACAGCGTGCTACAACGTGGGAACCACAGGGCTCTCGCATGTATGAGCAGCGAGGGAAGAAGAGGTTTTCTTACTTATAATCAGCAGTCTCATAGGTATCTGGAAGGCCATGAAAGAGAGCAGCCTGAATCTGAGCATTTGACTCTGAACATTTGAGCTATATTCTGGAAATTCAGAAGTTGTGAACTGGTTTGTTATTAACAGTGATTGTGGTTCTCTTTTCTGCACTCTTCAGCAACAAACTGAGGCCCAAAAGCAAGTGGCCTGAGATGCACAAGAACAGACTTTCACACAGTAGCCATGGCCTGGCTGCAAGCAAGCATTACTGGAAATTTCCTCAGTCACATCATAAGTAAATGTCTTCAAACATTTGCTAAACTTTTCTTCATCTGGTCCATGTCTCTCTGGGCTGGATTCTTTCGTGTGAGGCTGTCAGTGGTAGCACACTTCTGGCACATCTGGAGGAAGCACTTGTGACAGACAACATTGCAATTTAGGAGGCTCTGGTTGCAGTGATGAGGCAATCCAGCACATCGATGAAGACCAGTAGGTCTCTGTGATAGAGGTCAGGCAGAATCCAATATGGTCAGGAAAAACAATACCTCAGGAGCTGATACAAATATTTCCTTGAAGTCAAACGAAAACACTGTTTTTCAGGAACCTTTTTCCATCTCTCTTTTGTTCCTCTATTATACATTCTGTTACTATAATGGACTACATTTCTGAAAGCTTTGGAAACCTGTTTTCAACATCTGCTTCAGGTCACAAGCAAGAGGGGTTTTAATGATTAAATTACATTGGGTGGATGTTTCCAAATGCAACAAAACTGCTTCCTATGTGGGTACAACTGGCAGCCTCCACAGATAAGCATGGTGGACACAATCTTTTTTTAACCAAGGTGGACAGCAAACATAATATATCTTGCAATTTCAGAATCCATTTTTAACCTCTGTAATTCTATTCTGCACTAAAAGGGAAAACATACAGAGTGAAAAAGGATGGCTTGATGGAATCAATATATCACTCCAAAAAAGGGCAAAGTCTCCGCTTGACATCAATTTTCAGCCCAAGCTTTACAATGGAAGTTCAGTGGAAACAGGAGGCACCGTAACTAACATAGCAATTCCCACAGAACCTTACTTTTTTTGACTTGTTTATATTTTATCATGATATATATAGGAACAGACATAGTAGCTAATTTTCATTAGCAAGTCTAATATTGGTCTGTGTTTATAAGCTAGATCCAGAACAGAAGCCATATGTCTACCAGGATGATTCAGATCCCTGAGACCTTAAAAAAAAAGAACTTGATTTAACAAGCAGAGAGAAGTTTTCTAGGAAATGTCAAAATTATTTTGCTTTGTATGGGAACTGTTTTCATTTTCCACTTCATGACAAAGTCCATATAACTTGCAGTATTGTTAAACAACTGTTATTGAAACCGTTGTGGAATTTGGGAAGCCAAGAGATGTGATAATATTTTCAAACATGATTTCCATTAAAGGCTTGTTTTAAAAAAAAAAGACACTGACATTTTTGCAGTCAGAGTTACAAATGTTTATGTCAACAGCTTTTTTCTCAAAGCTCAGTTTTGAAATAATATGGTTTTCATTACAATGCGTTCTGTGTTCTCATTTCCATCAGTCCCACTCCTAAAGGCGTGATTGCTTTTCTCTGTCATTGGAGATGCTACGAAATTGATTTGTTGGTGGGTTTCCTTCCTTCCTTCCTTCCTTCCTTCCTTCCTTCCTTCCTTCCTTCCTTCCTTCCTTCCTTCCTTCCTTCCTTCCTTCCTTCCTTCCTTCCTTCCTTCCTTCCTTCCTTCCTTCCTTCCTTCCTTCCTGCCTTCCTGCCTTCCTGCCTTCCTGCCTTCCTGCCTTCCTGCCTTCCTGCCTTCCTTCCTGCCTTCCTTCCTGCCTTCCTTCCTGCCTTCCTTCCTGCCTTCCTGCCTTCCTGCCTTCCTGCCTTCCTGCCTTCCTGCCTTCCTTCCTGCCTTCCTTCCTGCCTTCCTTGATGGTAAAAAGGTCTAGTCTAGGCTAAAAGCAAACCAAAAGATCTCTCCTGAATCACAACTAATGCATGATTTTACTGTCTGAACTCAGAAGCAGTAGGGAAAAAGTCTCTGACCTCCCACTACTGTGGATCAGTCATGGTTATGCAAATCTGGGCAGTAGCACAGCTGTGAGACCGGTGTAAGGCAGCCCAGAGCAGGGCTTTCCCCAGTTTTGAGGCCATCAGCTGGCAAGCAGGCACAGGACAAGCCCCGTAGAAGATGCACAGCCAGGGCAGCCTCTGTCCTGGTGCACAGGGGGAGCGCAGAACACCGAGCGTGCCTTATTTTCCATTAATGCTTCTCTCTGTACTTTATTTTAAATTTTATGGCCTGCTGCTACCTGTGGAATTACCTCACCTCCACGCTGGTCACGGGAAGCAAATGACTTGTTCTGCACACAAAGTCACCTGGGGGTCTCAGCAGCCAGCGCTGCATCCATGTGAACTGCATGGGTCCTCTCTCCTCAGAAATGCTCCCAGGATCTCCGCTGCTGGGGTTTGCCATCAGGGAACACTGCAGGCAGCCCTCTTGTCCTGCACCCCGCCACAGACCTGCCTCCCATCGCTCGCTTACCCAGCGCAGGGCTGGCAAAAGCACTGGCACTGGCACTTGTTCCCTTTCATTAATCCAGGGATGTGGGTGCCTAAGGCAAAGCCACTTTCTGTGGGACAGAGGGATGGTCCAGGCAGAGACTGTACATCTGAATGTGCTCTGGGTTAACTCAGCCGGAACAAATTAGGACAAGACAAAAGGGACCAGCAAGGATTTTCCCATTGTTTCTCTCCATTCTTTTTCTTCATGCAATGAAATAAATGACTGTAGGCTACATGAGCAGGCTGCTAAACCATTTTGACACAAAATTTTTCAGGCTTTAAAGCTCAATTGAAAGACAATCTTGTATTTCCTTCTGCTCCTAAACCCTACAGTAAACATCTGATTGTCATTCTGCATGAAAACAAAGGCCTTGAAAATAAATAGGGAAAAAGAATTAGCAATGTTTTTCACGTGCTTTTTTCATTACCATTTTACAACTTGATTCTTTATCTCAGTACTTCACCTCGAAAGTTATAAATTTACATATTCTGGATTAAAGACTCGCTTAAAGGAGGGGGTGATTGGGATGATCTAAGTTTACAAACTAGCCCATCTACTTGACACAGGTGGCTACGATCTCAACATGCTCCTCTGGATCTTACCATATACTGCATGTTAACTTTACCATCATGGTGTGTTTCTCCTTTAGAAAAGGTGAAGATTGTCAAGAGCCTTTCTCGCCAGTCCCAGTTCCGAAGTACACACTCAGATGTCTCTACATCTGTATGTCTTTGCAGCTACATTTTGGTAATAAGGAGCAAATCACCCAAAATGGCTCATTTTAACAACTCTGCCAACACAGCACCCCTCTGCAAGGGGGTGAGGGAAGTCCTTACCTTTGAGCTGCACTTGTAGAGGGGGTGACTGATGGAGTCGACGTAGTGATGCCTCATACAGCGGCTGGGGTCGGAGTCAATCATGAAGGAACTGTCTGTTTTACTGTCTGTGTCTCCCATCATTGCCAGGAGTGAGAGCATGGAAATCGAAGCTGCAAGTACATGACTTCCCATTGTCAAGGAACTTCTCGCTGATAACAGCAGAGGGAGGTAGAGTATTAAAAAACCTTCAAATACTGGCAGCCACTTCCTTTCCAGGATGGTGAAAGGTCTGGTTTAAGTCTCTTAGTTGTCATTCTGCTTCTCGAGTTGGAGTTTGCCGAGATTGTAATCCGTCAAAGAATCTCCTGCGTAGTTGGAATAAAAACAACATAAATCACTATCCTGACCAAGAAGACGTCTGGAGAAAAACAGACATAAATAATATTAAGACACACAGGATTTTTGCTAGCCAAAATATACACTCTGAGTGAGCATCATTCCCACAGTAGGTAGAGTATATGGCATTAGGAAGGAGATGTCAGGGCCTTGTTACTTTAAGCATGGCTGTCATTTTACTGGGGAGAACCTTTTGACTTTTAACGTCACAAGTGGTGCAATGTTAATCTTTTACATTGGTGATGTCCCTAATGGGTTCCCCTCAAAATTGGCAATTAGTGACACATTAGAGATTTCTGCAAATTGGAAGGACTGTGTATCTACCCAAAGTGTCAAAGTGGGGCAAAGCTAGGCTGCCTCCTGCATTACAGATGGGAATTTATGGCCCAGGTAGCACATGGAAAGGCTGGAGGCAGGTTGAACACCCTGGCTTTAGGGGCTGAATGTCAGTTTTGTGCACTTGCTGTGCTGCAGGGCCAAAGAGCACCCCCAGGATGGAGGGATGCTGAGGGTCCCAGCCCAGGCATGAGCAAAGCGGTCCCCCAGAAAGCTTGCTGAGCACGGACCTGCACTGCATGAAGGACTACCTAAGTCTCTGGCTGCCCTGCTCCCCTGAGTACCAAACTCGTATGCACACAGTTAGGCAAGCCTTACGTGCTTACTCGTCAGGCTGTACTGGCTCAGTGTCAGTCTCTTCCCCATTTATTAAAGAGCAGCGTTTGAAAAATACATTATATTCCATAATATCGAGGCACATCCCAGCTATCAATTAGGACAAAAATATGTTCAGGTGGAGTCATGTAGATATCAAGCCAGGCATCTGCATTTCTGGTGATTGTTGGAGACCAAGAGATCCCCCAGAAGGCTAGCACAGGACAGCCCCTGAAACGCTGCCTGGAGTCCTGTGCCAGCAGGAAAAGGAAGTCATCTCCCCCAGCTGCTTCATTACAGCCCTTTGATCCTTCTCACAAAGCCCTTAGACTCAAATGGGTGATTTAATTTTGCTTTTACTACAAGCAACTACAGCTTGAAAGAGCTGTGAACTATCCATCTAAATACAACCTGATGAAGCAAAGGATAATCATAAATTAAGTTAAAAGTGTGAGGACTTTCTGAAGAAACTTTTGACAAAACAGTTCCCTGGTCACACAGAAATGCTCTCCCAGAGCCTCTTGCTTATTTAAAGAGCTGATGTGTGCCTTTATTGCCTTATACAAGCGTCTTTCAAAACTGTTTTCTGGTTTGCTGGCTGTACTCTAAACCAACTGATACTCATCTCCCAAACAGCCTGAAATTACGAGGCCTCCTCACCAGAGTGCTTGATGATTTGTGTATTGCTTTATAGCTTGCTCAAACGCTTTTGTGAGAGGGGAGTATAGCAGTGAGAAACACTTCCAGAGTTCATCCAAGTTGGGAGTCCGGACTTGTCAGGCTGAAGTGACATACAAGGTCTCACACTGGGAAGAAATGTAATTAGGGATGCTCTGTGTTTTAGACATTTTTTAAAGCCTTTTTTGGGTTTCAAACTATTGTCCATGTGCCTAAGGAGGAGAGGAAAAATGATGTGACTGTAGATTTAATAGGCAATTTTCTTTTTTCCCGGAGTCTGACCTATGACCTCATATATTTTCCTCAAGCAAATGTTTTTCGGTGGGTATGGCATTAAAAAAAAACTACGTCTCTGCAGTATGAGGAACTTAAACAACACTAAACACTTAGGATCTTGGATACAGTTATGTACAGTCTCATTCATGTCAATAAATATCCCTCCAAACATTTTAGCAGAGTAAGAGAGAAATCTCTTGGTCATGGGAACTAGGAGACACTCCTTCCCAGAAGTGAACTGTTCTACTCTGGTTTATGCAGATGATGCCCAAGGATTAACTAACAGGAGGAGTGATAACACTTCTTTTTTTTTTTTTTTTTTTAATATATTTAACCTTTTACCTACATTCCTATTCTTCTTTATAAAGAGGCTGACCAAAACACGTTGCTTGGCAAGGTCTCTCTCCAACATAGTTAATCAGTATTACACACCCAGTAATTCCCTCTCTGTCCAAATATATTTACTTGATATTGGACGGTCTCATCCCATGTAATGTTACACCCAGGGATCCCCATTTCCCACTCTTTGTCTCACTGTTAATTTTGTGCTTCTATATCTTTCTATGGTTTTGATCAGTATGATTTAATACACTGAGAGAAATCTGGAGTCCTGGCTCAGTTTTCAAAGGCTTATCTCTCTAGTTTTCTTCAGGAAATAATTGGATGACATAGAGTCTGCCTCATGAAAACACACTGAGAAAGCTGGAAAGAAGCAGGGAACAATGTGAGAAAAGGAAGATAACTGTACCTTCTTCAGGATAAGCATAGCACAATACAAAAAGTATTAACACTTTCAAAATCTTTTAAAATTGCCCTGATACTTCCCTGGCAAGGAAATGTAGCAGGCTTTGATAACAAAACTGACAGAAGAAAAAAGTACTGTTATCACATACTTGTTAGTAAAAAGAGAGACCATGGAGGTAAATATGACTCATCTTTTGTGAAAAAACTGTGTACAGTTGTTGATAGACATACTGGCAAAATGAGTGTGTAGGTATCGGAAGCAGGACTGCAGACAACACTGGGCTATTTGCACATGCCAGTATTTCCTGACATACCTATGTGAAGTATACACATACATTTTTCAAGTACCTATGACTTATATAATTGAGATATATGGAAAAAAGTCTCACAGGGACATTCAAACATATAGACACTATATGTGCAGATTTTTGATTGTGTAAAGAAAGTCTAAATATTTTCACTCAGGTACATCACCATGGTGAAGTATGTTGACATGACATTTTCCATTTCTGGCTGATACTGTGCAATTTCAGTGGCATTTCACTTTAAATTAACATTCTTCTTTTTTAAAAAAAAAAAAAAAAAAGAAAAGAAAAAAGTTGTATTCCTTTTTGAAATGTTATCTGAAATTATAAAATCCTAGACAATACATAATATCAGGAGTGACATGTAGCTTCCAGTCTACCTTTCTGTCCAAAACCAGAAGCAAGTACACATGTAATCATTAATCATTATAGCTGTACTTATGTTGACATTTTGTTTCATTTGGAAACTACAGATTTTTAAATCACAATTAACAATTTCACACAGAATTTGGGTTTTTACTCTATTTAAGCTGGTTTTTCCTCAGTTTCTTTTCATGTGAAAAACTGTCATAAACAGCTCATCTGCCAAGCTAACAAAAAGGAACCTAAAATTCTTCCTCTTTATAGCATCCTGTAAAGAAAAAGATGCAAAAGTGACTTCATATTCCTAGGATGAAAATTGGCTACGGAAGTATTTGGCCTAACAGTGGATGAAAATCACTGCTTCCCATTTTTTCAGAATTCACTGATATGGGCATAACACGTTGTTAGCAATAAGCTTATAGTGCCCTTTCCATATAACTAGTTTTCAGGAATTCATAGAGACATAACATGCTAAAAGCTGTTTACAGCTGTTATCTAAAACTGCTACAGATGTTACCTAAAAACTGCAAGGAAAAATAGAAGACATCCCAAAGGAAGACTGTATGAACATACAATCCAAGACCGTATTGCACATGGACATAGGGGCAGTTAAGGTTATTTTTCCAGTTTTATGTTGTTATTAACTGCTTTTTGAATGCTGAAATGAAGATTTCTTACCAGAGTCTTAATATCATTTAGAGAGTGGTGAAAGTTAAGATTTTGTTTTGCTTTAAGGACAGAAGAAAATTCCGTCATCTGGAATTATTTAGCCAGTCACTTTGTGAGAACGTAAACAGAAATTCCCTCTTTGCTATGTATCTTGGAAAAAATAAAGAGCTGAGCAATTCTCCAATGGTCTGTTGGATCTGCACCACTTTTACCCTGGAAGGTAGGAAGGGAGCAATGGAAAAGCTCATTCATGGTGTACTTCTACTTGGCTGTTACTAACTCCTGAGCCCCCAGAATTAGGCATGCACGTATGTTCAGCTTGGGCTTCGTTTGCTGTGCATTTTCTGTATTTGAGACTCCTGCTCGACGATGAGGGTACAATTCAAGTCATTCAATGCCTTTTATGTTTCAGAGGCTGCCAAAATCCCGTTGAAGCATCAGTGTGCATATATAACTAAGCATGGCCTTGCATGCAGTGCATATTTAGTAAACACAATTACTTGGATCTTACCATGTGGTTCCCTCATTCTGAATTTGTTATGTAAACAGAAGAGTTGCAAGACTACTCATTTTCTCCACACTACAGCCCTAAAAAAGTGTCATTAGCCATATACGTATATATATATGTGTGTGTGTGTATGTGTCATTCACCCCTGCTGCTCTGACAAAAAAACAACGAAGATCTTTATGAGACCAAAAGGGATTTCTCAAGAACTTTATATAACCTGGAAAAGTTCAGGCCAGAAAGATGAGGGTTTGGGAGTTTTGCACTCCAAGGTCTGGACTAGAGTGGAAATGACTGTGTTAGGCAAACTACACTGTTGGGCTACACCAGGGTTTATTCTGCAGGGTTAAACACTGCCACGAGAAGGGCCATGAAAAGGGTTGGTGTTGGAAAGGCCAGGAGGAGCAATCTGTGCTGGAGATGACCTCCAGTCCCCCAGCCCCAGACACAGAGTAGCACTGCGGTGTCCCCACTGCTGCCGCCTGGCCACGGTGCTAGCATGGCCTGTGGCCACCCACCACCAGGATCTCTGAATGACAGATATGTGCTTTCAGAGAACTTGGGGAATCATTGTTTCTGCTCCTGCAATGAGTTGCCAAGGCCTCAGCTGGGCAGTCAGCTGGGGGGACCCTGTGTACAGAGCTGCCCCACACTTGACCACAGCTCCCGCATGACAGTTCTTTTGCTAGGGCTACCCTTGTGAAGGGGTACCCCTCTCCCAAAGCCATGTGTTGTTCTGCATATCCACAGCTCAAGTCTTGCTCCAAGGCCACATCTC